TTATTTGCATTACCATGCATTGAAGATGGTATATCTGAGAAGAACTGCTGTGGCGTAGTGCAGAAGCACAAGGAGTTGATGTTAAAACCTTTGCTCTTCAGTGCAAGTAGGAGATGCAGTAAGCCTGTTTGAGTACTCATAATCCAGTGCCCCTTCTCTCTTAATGTTGACCTCTATTCCTGTAGCTGCATTTCATTTCTGTCAGGCTTTTCATGACCCCATGTGGCAGCACAGTCCCAAATTAATAAGGATCTGTGGTGACAGCTGCTTCAAAAGCTTCTGGCCTCTTTCAGGGATTTTTTTTTTTTTTCCCCTTGTGTACAGGGTGTTGGATGCAGGCGCCTCAGTATTTCTTCTGGTGTTTGCTTTCCTGTGCAGTTCTGGCCCCTGGTGCTTGGCGAATCTGTGTGTTTTGCTTTCTTTTGCAAATTAACTGCTGCAAGGATAGGTTTTTGCTTATTGTTGATGTGTGGCTACTGAATGATTGAAAAGGAAATGTCTTCTGTTGTGTTCTACCAGTTAAGGCTGTGTCTAGGTCTCTTCTTGAATCTGACTTGTGCGTTTAAAACGGCATTGAAACCATGCCTCAAGGTGTGCTTGTTGCGTTCTAGTCATCGTAACAGTATTTATTAATTATTTGCTCCTTATTTCTTTGATAAACATTAGCTGGGTTTTTGTACTCTGTGCTTTTGTTATTGCGGTGCACCATTTTGGTGCTTCCACAAACCAAAGTGAATTTGCACACCATCTGTGTGCAATAATAAAGCTTTTAGCAACTCCAGATTGCTGTGCTTGTGGTGGGGAGTGTGGATGAAAGCCAGCCCAATGAATTAAGGTCATGTCCCTACTGGGGACAGAAAGCAAACTCTAGGTAAAACGATCTAGACAATCCCTTTGAGAGGCATCTGTTCCTGGTAGGACTTTGGCAACCGTGGTTATGGCTGTTAATCTTCAGGCTTCCAGCCACTGAAAGGTAGGAGAAGAGACATGGGGACTTGCTCCAGGCATTAATGGACACCTGCAGGGAAAAATACTTCATGTTTTTGACAGTCATAGGTGGATGGAAAGTATTGCTGAGTAGAAAACTTGTAAAGCTAGCCACATAGGTTAAAAAAAAAATAAAATCATGATACAAAGCAAAATAGACAATAGCCACTTTTCAGACAAGGTTTTTAGAAAGGATTAATACAACTACTGAATCTCTCAGATCAGTGGCGATCTCTCAATGGAGACATACTTCATAATACCAAACTTTTAGGAACCTGACATTTACAATATTGAGGAGGAAGTAAAAGCTTTTGCATATAGGTCTGTGTGGGAGGAAATAATGTCGAAAGGAAAAAACCATGAACTGTTGTACCAGATAAATACACTATATTAAGAAAATTATGACGTGAGAGGGACATCTTGTGGCACAAATTAAAAAAAAAAAAAAAAATCCAGTGGCAGGAGGAGTATCCTGGGACGTTACCCCAGGGTCACCATTTCTGGTAGAAATTCTAGGCCTGGTAAGAGGTGAATTTGTTCCAGTTTTCCTTCTAGCATGACTCTTGCTACCCACTTTCTCATCTTCCCACTTTTTTGTCTCCATGAGCAGAGGATTACAGTACACAAAAGTTGTACCAAATATAATCCTCTGTCTTGGTGCAAATGATACTAGTTTTTAATGAAGAAATAATTTAAAATGTCACTACCATTATTTTACTGACTGTGTTGCTTCATCAGTGGCATAAAATGTAACAGTACTTTAGCTGTGGGTGGCTAACATTTATTTTCCACTTGTATCACAATCAGATTTCCATATGTTCATATAAATTAAGAAGAATACATTTAATTTTCAGGAGTACAAAGGGCCACGATTGTGTACGATCAACTGAAATTAAACCTAACGTACATCTGTGAATCACGGTATAAGAAGTATGACGTAGTCTTGCTGTCTGTGTGCCCGAACCTTTAGATCCCTTGTTTGATTAGTTTTGATCATGTGGTGATAAAAGTTTAATTATCTTTTACAAGCAGTAGTTTTCCCAGGAGTTCTTGTTGTAACTTTGAATGATTTCTTGAATACCTTTTAAGAGTCTTAGATGAGGTTGTATTGTGTCACTGTATAGAGTGGGAGAAGTCTCTACAACACAGAAATATTTTCAGTCTCTCTCAGACCTCAGCCACCTGAACCACATGTTTTAATGTCATTTAGAAGTGGTTCTTCTCGGTAGGCTGGTTGTGCGCTTGACCAGAGAGCTGGGGTAGCAGGCAGGTTTATCTCCAGCCCAGGTACCTTCTGGTTGCAATTCACCCCCTTTGTTGGCCACTTCGGTCTGCCTTCTGGTGCAGGGGTGCTTGAGAGAATTAACTTGAGATATTGCTGGTCTGGACTGGGGTGTGTTAAGCAAGCAGGAGTAAGTTGGCATGAACTTCAAATAGAGTTACTCCTCTCAGCTTTGGAGAAACAATAGAATGTCAGTTAAAGGGAAAAACAGGTCTGTCGCTTCTACAGTAATACCTGTCAGCTGTGTAGGAGTTAAGCTTGTACGAAAAATCTAAACATCGAGGAGTTTGTGATTTGGTGGTGCATCTTTTGTTTTGAATTTCAGCAACCAGATGTTGTTTTGGTCAGTCTCACCATTTCCAATACTACTTTGTTTTTATATATCTGAGATATATTTAAAGTTCAATGTCTGTTGTTTTCTTAAGGATGTTTATAATGTGTCTATTCATGCCTAAGGATCCAGAAATACTATTTGAATCAATTGGTATGTAAATCATTCTCTGCTTTGGAAAGATAGGAGATCGTTTCTCCAGCGGTAATTCAATCATAGCTTGTTTTTTGTATAACCACAATACCCTTGCCTAAATTTAATTCAAAGTTTATGTTTCCTAGCTACAGTTCTAGTACTTCAATTGCCATGAGTAGAAATGCCATAAATTATAACAAAAATGAAGGACAATAGTAAAGGAATCTTTTTTGGGGTAAAGATAGGGCGGGAAAACCACGTTTTTGTTTTCAGGCTTTTGCACAAGACTAACTAAAAATCTGCCAAGTCATGCTGTTGTCCGGCCCAGATTTTTGACCAATACAAGTGTATCGTAAATTTTTTTTTTCTTCTACTTACAGGTCAGCTAAAATCCCAAGCATTGCAGTGTGATTGCTTTGAGATCTATCCCTTTGACTGCAATTCCTTTTCCATTAGGTATCCCACAGAATAACCAGCGTTTAGCTTAGGTTAACCGAAACCTTGGGTTTCTTGGTGTCAGCTGAATTCAGTGTGTGGACTTACACTCGTAAGGATGCCAGTTGCATGCTTTCATTTTTGACAAAAGGACTTCAGCTGCTGAAGAGCCTCACTCCAGTCTCTTACTGGTTTGATCAGTTCAAAGACCAATTCCTGTAGCGATGGGCCTGTCCTAAGCCGTGGCAGTGGAGCAGTCTGGTATCCGCGAGCTTCCACATACCATGGGAACGTGTTTTCCAGCATGTCAAGTGACTAAAATGCTCTTGACAAACAACGAGATATGTGTCCTGTGATGACATCTTTGCCTTGTATGCATCAAAGAGGTTTTTCTGGTTAAATATGCGTGATGGTATTAGCTTATGGTGTGAATACAAGTTTAAGTGCTATGCTGTGAATCTCTTGCGTGTTTGCTCTCTGGAATGTCCTTGGGTTTTCTAGTTTGTCTAGTTTGGTGTAGGTTGTCTCAGGGACTGTCAGGGACAGCGACGCCTTTGGGTTTTGTGTGTACGTATGCAGGAGGTGCTTCCCTACCTGGAGCAACATCTGGATTACTGGTGGGACACAGTTCTCAGCTTTGCCCTTGGCTTCAGGTGTCTCCTAAGCAACACAAACTACACCTAGGAAAGACACGTTTATTCCAGAATAAGCATTTCCCCAAGAGGGCTCGGATGGAAAAGCCTTAAATTACGACTAAACGTTTGAATTCACGTCCTTGCTTGGACAGCTGTCATTTGCCGTGCAGAGAGGCGCTGAGAGGAGGAGCAGGGGTGTGCGGTGGGTGTCTGTCTGTCTGCAGGACCAGGGCGTGGGTGTATGTCTGTCTGCAGGGCCAGGGTGTGCAAGGGAAGAGCCTGATGG